GAAAAGTAAAGAAAGTGAATTGCTTTAAAATGCTTATCTTTCTTGGATTGTTGAAATAAAGTGCCAAGTACTTGGTAAAGGCCGATAATAAAATTGGCGAGTAATTTGACGCTGGTGAAAATCTAAATGAATAAACAGAAATGAAACTTTTCACATGGCTTCAGACATTCTTCTCGTCATTGGTTTAAGTTTTTTCTTATTTTATATAAAAAAGGATTTCACATAGGATCGCTACTTTCTTTCCTTTCTTTTTCTAGGCTCAATGGCTAATTCCTGTGAAAACAAGGTTTTCATTGAGTCCAAAGAAAATTTCATATAGGCTCACGAATTTGCTTTTCTCAGATCACCGACCAACCTCAGTGAAGTCAATGTTTTCATTGGTCCAAAGAAACTTTCTCATAGGCTCGCGAGTTTCCGTCTTTTGCCTCAGCTTGCCCGAATATAAAGAGAGTTATTATTATTATTTCGTATTCACCACATTTTCTTTCTCTCTATCTCATTCTAGTCCTATCTTTGAGTCTACTTAAAATCTAAATTTAATACAAAACATGTGAGAAAGGAATAAAAAATAGACAAATATATCTCTCTTATCTCTCTTCATCTTTCTCCCTCCATAAAGAATTATTTTTAACGGATCACAATTTTTATGCTTTTCCGTCCTTATTTCATTGTCACTTGATATCCAGTAAATCTGTTTTCTTTCTCGTCTTTTCTTCATCCATTCCTAGTCTCTTTCTCTCTATCCTGTCTGCGTCCTGTTTATATCTATCTGCGTCCAGTCATATTTGTTTATCTCAAATGTAGAATGTCACAAGGCCATTAATTTGGAGTTTCCAGGGAGAGGGCTCTTATTGACTTGTAAATTATTATTCGATTTTTTAATTTACCATTTCTTGGACACCATCCACTGGTCCTGTTAGGAACACAGGACGACCAAAACAATCTGCCTGGCTCTCGGCTTTCAATTCCTTACTACTCTTCAAATTCTTTCCAAATCTTTCTTTTTGTCGGTGTTGTTGTTGTTTGTTCTCCCTCCCATTTTATTTTTTCAAATTATTTCCCTTTTTCCAGCAACATGTCCCCTTCGCTTCCTCACTACAATTTCTTCTTCTTCTTCTTCTTCTTTTGCATGTCTTACGGAAACATCTGCGTGTAATTAAGGATCTGGTATGTTACGTGTAGGAATGTCCCCCTATCCGGAGATACACTTAAAATGAAATGCTTATCTGTGAGTTAGAGGGCCTAATCGACAGGTTCAACTCCTGTTTCTTCCGCTTGTCCGACTATTTTAGACCCTGAAAGCCTTTTAATTTAGGAAGATATTAAATCTCAGATAAAGGTCGCTCGAATAGTTGAAGTTTAAAAAACAAAATTAACAGCGACTTTAAAGAGAAAAGTTGAAAGTTTATTGTCAAAGCACAGAAATAAAAGAATTAAGTTCCAAGAAAAAATACGTCTAAGAAAATGGAAACCTTTCTCTTCAGGAAATCCTTCTTTCCTTCTTAAATTGTGAGGAGGTAATGAGTCAAGAAATTTGAGATTTGCTTTTGGATTTGTCTTTGGATTCTAATTCTGTGGGAAACTGAGTTTTTTTTTTGCCACATGCTTATTGCATTTATTCGATGAGCTTATCCTATGGAAGACCAATCCAACATATTTTTTCGCATAATACTTTGTTTATCATCCATTCACATCAAAATTACAGGTATTTTCGTTTCGTTTATGCCAATTCACTTTGACGATCGACTCATATTAGTAGAAGATCACCTTAAACAAAATGACATAATGCAAAGAAGGAATAATATGCAAATGTCTTTTGTCTTTCCGAGACGCAAAAAATACCTGCTATTTGTGTCTGTTTCGAAAGTCGATGTTTGTCGCCTGTTGTGGCCGGTGGCCCCACACTTTTTTAAAATTATATTTTTGCATAAACCCAAATACATGGTCTAAATCGACACATCGTTTCAAAATGAAGCTAAAACTTTTCTGTAATTATTGTAGTACTGTTAATCTCAGAGGAAATATCATGCAATGTTACTTTTTGGTCTGGGAATATTCACAAAATTTTACCATAGAAATTCCTGGTTTTTGCTTCATTGTTTTGTGCCATTCCGGTTTGCCAGAGGTTTAATAGAACGAATAGACTATTTTCCGGTCCCGGTAAAAATAGACACCGAGGCTATTTTGCCAGTCCCGGTAAAAATAGATATCAAGGCTATTTTGCTGGTCCCGGTAAAAATAGATATCAAGGCTATTTTGCCGGTCCCAGTAAAAATAAATCTCAAGGCTATTTTGCCGATCCCGGTAAAAATAGATATCAAAGCTATTTTGCCAGTCCTGGTAAAAATAGATATCAAGGCTATTTTGCCAGTCCCGGTAAAAATAGATATCAAGGCTATTTTGCTGGTCCCGGTAAAAATAGACACTAAGGCTATTTTGCCGGTCCCGGTAAAAATAGATATCAAGGCTATCTTGCTGGTCCCGGTAAAAATAGACACGAAGGCTATTTTGCCGGTCCCGGTAAAAATAGATCTCAAGACTATTTTGCCGATCCCGGTAAAAATAGACACGAAGGCTATTTTGCCGGTAAATATAAATAGTGTTTTAGAACTAAGAATATATTATATTTGATATCACCAGCGCAGTGGTTGTGTGATCTGTACAGTAGTGCAGGATTTGAACATTTTATGGATACTGTGGTTTGTGATTGTTGTTTTCACTGAGTGCACCTGAAGTGAGAACCATGCCCAAGGGTAAATTTTGGATTTGCAAATACCGTTATGCTTGAAATGCTTAAAATATTCAGAGACTTCTATATTTCTTTTAATAATTGATGATAAATAAATGATTTTAACTTGTGTTTTAACAATTAATGGCGGAAAAGATTTTAAATTGTCTAAACAATTGTTTGTGAAAATAAATAAACTTCCGGTTTAAATCTATGTGTTGTTATTTTTAACATTACCTGCCTTCATAATAATAAAAATATTTACCTGCAAAATAATCTGGGGGGGGGGGGCTATTTTACCGAAACCGATAAAATAAACTTAAAAGCTTGTTTGTCTATTTTATCGGGACCGGCAAAATAGCCTCTTCCTTAATAGAAATGCATTCTTTTTTAAGAGAAAGTTAGTTGTTTTGACACATTTCTTAAAGGTTTTAACAACTGAACAACGCATCGGTTCTCTCCCCACCCCCCAAAATCAAAAACACAAAACAAACTAAAAAGACAACAAGCGTAACTAAACGGAAGAAAAATCCTTAATCTCAGAGAACTTGAGATTATAACTTGTAATTTGGGAGAGAAAAATACATCAGCTAAAAATGCAGCAATAAAAATCAAGAGAAAGATTTTTATTTCCTCATGAAAGTATTTTTTTTAATGTCATTCCCGTTCAAAAAGTAGACAATCATGGCTCTCCAGGCCTCTCCAATTCCTCTGTGAATTGCCATGACTTTTGGGGGGAAACATAGTTTCCCGTTGTTTTTTCCATAGTTTTGAATTCAAAATAGTCCATTACTTGTTGTTTGGCTGTCGCTTTAATCAAGAGAGTCCAATTAACCTTGCTATTTAACCCATAGCTGTGGGGGAGCAGAAATAGTTTTATGCTTTTCCAAGGATATTAGTGTGAAAGAGAGCACAGCGGAAGAGGCTGGAATTTAAATTCGTTCGGATCAACGCTGCAGTCGATAGAAAGTTATCTTCTTTTAAATGGTTTATTTAAATTTCAAATGATTAATTTGTGAGAAAAATGAATCTCAAAATTTGTCTCTGAAAAAAAAAAATTCCATTTGCTTTGATTCAGAATTCCATTAACGATTCGAGGAGAAATTTGAGGAATTCAATCAAATTATCAGCTTTCCTTAAAATAACATTTTTGGAAACCAAATAAATTCCTTTTCGCTTGTTTTAGATTTTTTCGATCTACCACAGTTTTAAATTATTTGGCGGTTTTGTTGTGAACAAGATTTAGACACACAGACAGACACACACACACACACACACACACACACACACACACACACACACACATATATATATATAGTATACTTTAAAAATAATTTATCATACACAAATACACACACACACACACATATAGCATACCTTAAAACTATTTTTATCATACACATACGCACATACACACATATATATAGCATACCTTAAAACTATTTTTATCATGCACACATACACACACACACACACATATATATATATATATATAGCATACCTTAAAACTATTTTTATTATGCACACATACATACACACATATATATAGCATACCTTAAAACTATTTTTATCATACACACACACACGCACACACACACACATATATATAGCATACCTTAAAACTATTTTTATCATGCACACATACACACACACATATACAGCATAACTTAAAACTATTTTTATCATACACACACACACATACACACAGACACACACACACACACACACACACACACACACACACACACACACACACACACACACACACACACACATATATATATATATATATATATATAATTATATATATATACACGAATGAGGTTGGAAATGTTCACATCCAAACTCTAAGAATGATGCTGCAATCAAAGAAATAAATTCAAAGCTTTTGTAAAAATTTCCTACTGAATTTCATTTGTCCAAATCAACAAAGAAAGTTGCAGAGACTTTAGAGGCTGTTCTTCAGAATGGCAACTGAATAATTCAGTTCCTCAAATCCCTCATATTCCTTCCAAAGTCTTCGATAAAATTTTAGGATGCTTATCATGTTCCTCAGAAATCTTCTAAAATTGTTCAATGAAACTGACTGATAGATTGATTTGTTTATTACGGATTATCAACCCATAGCCAGAGGAGAAGAAGTGTGTTCATAAATTTTCACAACTATTTGCGCGTAAGTCAATATAACGGATCCTACTGGAATTGGAACTCTGCTCTCCAATTTCTACCTTCGAGTCGTTATCCATTACACCACCCGCACATCCCAACTTATAGCATCTGGCATTCCCAAGCGGTTACCTATCTATATACTGACCAGGCACAATGTTGTTTGATGTCAGTGATCGGACGAGAACTGGTGTTTCAACGTGATATGGTCGTAAACGTCATTAGAACTCGTCAAGCGTCTCTCACTTTTCATCGAAACAACTGCCATATACAAAAAGAAGCATGTCTTCATTATCAGCATCACCATAATTTCAACAGATTTAGTTTCTACTGAGGCACAGGTTTATTATGACCACCGGCAAGACATAAGGGCAATCTCTCAAGGTCACCTCCATGTTTGTTGCACAACGGTTGGATCCCAAAATAACCATTTCACACCGGCAGAAAATGAGAGAAAGATTTTTTAGCCGAAGAGATAACATCATCTGTTTTGTTTTGGGCATCAGAATATTTTCAGTAAATTCTTTTTATTGTGTAAATAGTGAAAGTAATCTTTTTTCTCATTACTTTTTTGTGTGAGAAGAAAACCATTTTTTCCTTGCGCTGGTTATGTTACGAGCGCGTGGCTGAGGGTTACAGCATTCACTTTCCGACCATGCGGCAGGTATTCAGATCTCCCCATAGTCGATTTCTCAGGAAGGTAACTTATCGACCTAGGAAGGCAATCCCAGCTGAAAATCATACACACCATATTGACCTATTCACAAACCGTCAATGGTCGTGTAGGCACGAAGTCACAAGTCATCGTGACCGAGGATTTAAGCCTATTGGTCGCGTTCAAAATGTTGATCCCCACCAGTTTACGTTCTCTTTTCCAAGGTTCGTTCACCTTATTTGTAGTATAAACCTGCGGGCGGCAGATGGGTGTTCTATGTAACGAGGAGCCGGCAAATAGTGTCTACCAGGGCTGACCAAGCTCTTCAGTGTTATAGAACATGATTGGCCCCTGAGATAGAAAACACTTACACGACAAGCCTAAGGTATATTGCCTGCTTCGGCTGTGGCATTTATTTGCACCGACTGAGTGTATCAATGGTTCCGAAAAGTGTTCTTGTTGAAACTTGACTAATGCATGGAATAATAATGCAACACAAAATGTATTTAGAACAAAATGTATTGAAACAAGAAAGTGTACACAATATTTACATATAGTCTTTTGTATATTCTTGGTAAGACCGTTCCTGGAGAGTGTGTTGACTGAGTCGCAGTCGGGCAGAGTCTCTGGTTGAATCTCTTGATTCCTCCCTCTCTTCCCGATACCAACCATATTTATATGGTCGGTACTCCACTATGCAAATTGGGTGGATCCTACCACAACAGTTCTGCACAAGCCTTCACCACTTTAATCAAATCACTTGTGTGGGTTTTCTGGCGGTTTAACTTTGATTCGTTCTTATCTTACTTGTCAGCTGTCAATATACCACATAACACCCTTGAGCGCTTAGCCTTGGAGCGGGTAGAATGGAGATCAATGCATTTTAATGGACTCAGTAGTTTTCAACCTGCTTGTCTGAATCATCTTCAAGAAACGAGAGCAAGATCTAAAAGGTCAGCCAATCTAACAGTGATCTCATCCCACAATCCTCACTCTTGCTTCATATGCGGCCTCCTTTGTAAATCACTAGCAGGTCTTAAGTGCCACTTAAGATTATCGCACAAAATTTCATAATTGAATCAATTAAGCTGTCAGAGCCTCATACGTCGAAACCGACGGGAGAGTCCATTATTATGTTTACACACACACACACACACACACACACACACACACACATATATATATATATATATATATATATATATATAACTAGACTCGTTTCGAAAAACCCTCGAATTTTTGATTTGCTAATCAAATCAATCTCGAGGGAAAAAAGGTTTTAAAAAGAAAGAGCTACAAACATGAACTTCTGCCGACAAAAAAAATCGCACAGATGCAGGTCTGAAGCCCAAAAAAAAACCCCGATACGAGTAACAACTAACTAACAAAAGAGCGCAATACAACCGTAGAGCAGACCTAGATACACCTAGTGAGCCAGACAAACCTACCTAGGTTTCACCTAAACGGATTGTCAGGGAAAGTTTATATATATATAGTCATACATAGGCGGACTGTTTCGCTGTATCACAGCTTATCAGTGTGGCTAGACATCCGATTGTCTCATGCCAGGATCAAAACGGAGATTTTTCCCCTAAACTATCAGATCCTGGTAGAGAAGGTTAATTTTCACGTATTTATTTTTGAATAAACACAACATTGACTCAGAGTGCTCGATTCATAGAAGAGATTTGCATTATATATATATATATATATATATATATATATATATATATATATATATATGTGTGTGTGTGGGGGGGGATGCGTGAGACAAAGTGAGTGAAATAGATTGAGAAGGGTAAAGATAGAGAATGTACGGAGAAAGAGAGTCGGAGAAAGAAAGAGAAATGAATGGAGGAAAGTTGAAGATTAAAAGATGCGCAGTTGAAACAAATTAAGAAGAAAAGATGTAAATAGAGCGCCAGTGAAATAGAGAGAAGAAATCAAAGGGAAGAGAGAGTGGAGAAGAGAGAGAAAGGAAGGAAGAAAAATAGAGAGAAAGAAAATAAAAGAGAGTGATGAGTGAGAGGGAGAGAGGAAAAGAAGGATGAGGGAAAATTGGAGTGTAAGTGAGAAAGATGGAGATGAGGAAGTAAAAAGAGTCAAAATAATTAAGAACATCAGGAAAGAGAAAAAGAGAAGCTGCGAAAAATTCAGAAGGGAAAAGTAAAAAGGTATTTTGAGTCCTTTGAAATGTCTTACTTAAATATCTTATTGCTTAATCGATATATCGAACGACTTTGGAGATCTCTGATCTACACAGTGAAAGATTAAATTTTGCGATGGCTGCATTTAATTGTTGCTGTTAGGAAAAGAGTAGGAAAAAAAAAATAATGCAAAAAAAAAAAAAAAGAAAAAGAAAAAAGAAAAAAGCACGAGAAATTGCGAAAAGCCGGGAAACCGGCCGAGGTCAACGAAAATGAATTTAACGAAAAGCTAAACATTGCAATGATAAAGCATATAAAGCAATTTCTATTTCCGAGATCTGATTCACATAAATAAAAAAAAAAAAATGTGTTAGTAAAACTGTGCGTTCGGTTTAACAAAAATATTCTCTAATCTTAAATAAAAAGAGGGTTGAATTAATTGTGGGCCTGTGGGGAGATTCTTTCAACATCTAATAAGCGGAAAATTCAGAGGATTTAATACGATTAGTCTAGAATTTAGCTTATTTGTAGAAAGGAATAATATGTCCGTCTTGGGTAAGACGATAAACTACATCCAACAGCAAGGCCTTTGATCAGGAGGTTTTGAGGAGCGTGGAACCACCTCTTAATAGCTGTTGTTTCCAGCTTCACCTTGTCCCGAGGTGGTAGCATCTGTTAGGGTCCCGGCTGTGGGCAAATAGTTAGCCCCCAAACTGGGATCAAAACACTATGAAAGTGTAAAAATAGCTTTTAATACCAGAAATACTTTGTAAAAATTATTACCAGCAATACATTATTACCAGCTATACACTTTTGAAAAAAAGAAAAAAAATTACCAGCAATATGTTTAAAAAAAAAAAAGAAATTACCAGCTATGCATTTTTTACCAGCTATACATTTTTGGGGAAAATATTACCAGCGATACATTTTGGAGAAAAAATATTACCAGAAATAGATATTTGAAGGAAAAAATATTATCAGCAATATATTTTTGAAAAAGAAAATATTACCAGCAATAAATTTTTTTTATCGGTATTGAATAACCCACTGAGGTTGATCTGCCATAAACCAAACCAAACCAAACCAAACTGAATAATATGTAAACATATAGTAAACTATTTAATGAGAGTTAAAACAATTTTCTTGTTTTTTACTGCTAATGAATACAAACACTACAAAGTATGTTTCGAATGTCCTTAATTTGTTATACTCTTCTTCGGAGAACGCCACATTGTTTTTAGCTGTCCTAAGGTTGATGAAGAAGAACCTTGAAGTAACAGGAATGTGATTCTACAGAAGGATGCTGAGGATGCCATGGACCGAACATGTGAACAACGACGAAGTTTTAGAGAAAATGAAAGCAAAAAGGAAACTTATACTTAATACCAGGAAGAGACAGTTGCCGTTTCTAGGACACATAATGAGGAAAGAGGGCTTGGAAAATCTGATCCTCACAGGACAGATTGAAGGCAAAAGAGTCAGAGGAAAACAATGCATAACAAACTTAGTGTTAAAGACAAAATTTATTAAAAGCTATAAAGATCAGGAAGTTTTGGAGAGCCATGATCGCCTACGTCCTGAGGGGACATGGTACATAAAGAAGAAAGTTGGAGTAAAAAGAGCGAATTGCTTTGGAAATATATTTTTGTTTTGGTATGTCAGGAATACGTCTTTTTCAGTATCTGTCTATATTTCTGAGATGAGGTATTAACGTACATTATTTACATTATTCGGACTATTGTCCTCATCTTTGTCGCCAAATTTTTTACAACGTTTCGGCGTTGTACGCTCCAGCTTTCTTCAGGTTGTTGGAATGTCGAACTGAACCCTTTATTTCGCTCACTGGGGTAGACTGTTCTAGTTCCACGTGCCAAAGAGTGTGAGTTCAATACCGGGTTAAGGCAGTGGAGAACTTGGAGAAGGGAATTAACAGGAGATAACTGATAAATGACATCCATTAAACTTGGCACGTGGAACTAGAACAGTCTACCCCAGTGAGCGAAATAAAGGGTTCAGTTCGACATTCCAACCACCTGAAGAAGGCCTGAGCGTACAACGGCTGAAACGTTGTAATGAATATGGCGACAAAGATGGGGACAATAGTTCGAATGATGTAAATAATGTACATCTTTTTCACTTGGCAATCCACTAAGTTTTATTTTTAATCTAATTCCTATTTATATTCAATTTGGCGTTTACATCAGCTGCAAACAAGATTACTTTTCTTCAAATCGAATATTGCTAATAAGATCCATCTTTCATTAATATTTCTCAGCCATACATTTTGAATTATTTTAAAATTATCGGGGGAAAGTCAGCGCGTTATACAAACAAAAATGTTATCTTGATTTATTATTATTCGAATTGAAGGATAATTAGAAGTTTTAGAATATGTATCAAATCAGTTTTTACA